AGTCAGTTATATATGGGCTAGGTTTGTTTTTGGTCTCAATGTTTTTTGTTAGTGCCCTAAATTACTGAATAAACTATGTCCCTTTGGTTATTTAAACAAGCAAATGAGGTATGTGCCATGCTTTTTTCCTGTTTTTTTTTATGCCAGTAGCAGTGAAAATGGGGGCTTGACTTACTATACCTTTTATCTGAGCATTGGTCCTCTCATACTTCACGATGCTGCTCAGAAATGAGATTGTTAAATATTATCAGCTGGACTGTAGAAGGAGAATGGGGTCAGAATTATCCCGAGTGCTTTTGATGAGAAAGTACAAATGTAAATAATCTTTATATATTTTGTTTAAAATGAAACTTATATGGGACTTGGAATAATGGCCAGCTGTAAAATATGCTTAGATATTTATAGGTATTCCCAACATTTAAATTAGTAACAAGCATTACACTTATAATATAACTGAGCCTTTGAATACAGCAATAAAAGAATAAGTGACAAAAACAAGTAATGAGATTCACAATTTGCAGTGATCTAATTGTAAACAATCATATGCAATCCATAATACCTCCAAAGAAGATTTCTCCATATTTACCTAAATTAGCTCTAAGTACAATAAAGGCACTAAAAGTTAATCCTGCTAAAAATGTGCAAATATTGGAAGCTTGATCCAGACAGAGCCTTACTCTGAATTTATATGGGGAGCTGTAATGGTTTTGTAAATTAATCAATAGCTTGGCTAAATTATATTTGCTCAGCTAATTACTTTTTCCATGTCCTATAAATTACCACTTCAATGGCCTACAAGCAAAACCAGTCCTATTGCTTGTATCATATTTTAGCTTACTTGCTAGTATGCTATTAAAAAGCTTGTTTATTTGTTCTGCTATACGACAACAATATCGCTCTGCGCTTTCTGAGCCCCAGCCAGTGGGGAGCTGCACAGCTGTCTGAAAAGCAGTGAGCCAGTAAATATTAAAATTCATTGTAGCAGTACCAAAAATCCCCATCTTCATAGCCCTTCCATGGGGTCCTCACTGCTTCTCATTAAAGGCTTAATCCCCGCAGCAAAACCCTTTAATTAGGGGGCTTTCCACTGACTTCAGTAGGCCCTGGTTTAGGCTGAGAGCCTGCTATGCTCTCAAAAACACAATTGTAGGAAAATGTAAAGTATGGTGCTCAGCTTATATTTTTGGTGCCTGGCTGAGGAGTAATCCTGCTTAGAGAGCTGGGAGAATGCTGTGTATGCAATAACAAAGGTCCCAGGGTCAAAATGTTCACTTCCATTTACAAAACTGAATTCTTACTGCATGAGCCAAGTAGTTAGGAGACAAATTCCATTTTTTTTGTTTGTTTAATATAATTTGACAAAGTTTACACAAGAAAACTGACTTAAATTGCAAACTCTCAGTGGTAGAGTATACCTCAAGGCAGAGGTGAATTAAGGCTAATTAGAGGTTAGCGTCATCATCATTTCAGAGTGTCCTCCAAGAACTCCTCTGCACACACACAACTTTCCAGACGCTCCATTTTGAAATTCTCATTATTTATGACCCAGAATAAGAGCCCTAGTATGTAAGATGCTAGGCAACATATTCTGATTTCAGTCATAGTGATTCAGACTAGCACTGACACTAAAATAATTTTATGATAAAAAAAAATCAGTAGATTCATCTTTTAGTTGATTATTACCATTGTAAATGACACCAGAATCTGCTACAGAGGGAGTCACATTTATGTCCCCATCCACAGGAGGATGTAGGAATTCAAAAAGGGGATTATGGGAGATGCCACCGGTGCTGCAGGGGAGGTTGCAGCCTGCTTTCCCCTGGGCAGGCAGACCACACTATGGCAGCAGCTGCTGGAGACTTTTTGGAGTCCCTAAAGCAGGTAAAACTTTCCTGCCCACCGCTCTCAGCACCCACTCCTCTCCAGTGCAGGCACCACCTCTTCCCTCCTTTCCCCCTCACCTTCTCCAGCTGGGATTGACTCTGGTTGCAATAAAGGGGCAACCTGCCCATCATTACTGCTGTTCTCAGCTGACTAGGGACTGGGAAGCCCCAGAGTTTCTCCTGCCCTGCTCTAGCTGAGGGTTTCCTAAGCAGCAGCATTGGGCTGGGCTGGGTATAGCAGCAGCGATGGTGGGCAGGTCCCTCCTTCCAATGTCTGCCCTTGGGTCATGGGCACACCTAGGGGGAGCGGCAGAGCAGGAACGCCTGGAAACCCACGGCTGCTGTTTTGACCTACAGGTGGGGGAAGCCCCAGGCTCTGCTCTAGTTGAGGGCTATGGGGACTGGTTGCATGGAGTGCAGGGTTAGCGGCAGTGGCAGGATCAAGGCCTGCTCCCTCCCCCTCTGCTGCATTTCTCCCACTGGCCCAGAGAATCTCTGGCTGCAGGGAGCCGCTGAGCAGAATGCTGTGAGGGGCTGGGGTTGGCTGTGGCAATGGGCAATCCCCACCTTCCAGGCTGTCCTGCTCCCTGCACGCCCCCAGCTGTGCCCTGCAGTCTGGGGAAGCAGGCATTGGAAGTGGAGGGGAGGGAATCACCCACTGATGCTGCCGTGACCAGCCCTGCCCAGCCCTTTGCACAGCTGTTCTCCAGGCTGGAGCCCTCAAGCCAGTGGGGAAAGTGCAGTGGAGAGGAATGGAGCAGGGACCTGGCACCCAGTGCAGCTGCTCCCTGCAGCCCCTGCTGGAGCGGCCCTGCAGCTTCCCCCCACCTGACCCTGACATATGCAGGGTCAGCTGGGGACAGCAGCAGCTGTGAGTGGGTCCTCCCTTCCTTATGTGCACCCATTTGGGTGCCCCACTCCAGCCCAGAGCTGCAGCTCAAGTCAGACACAGCAGGGGATCCAGGCATTTGGAGCTGCAGGTAAACAGAGCCCCTGGCATATGACCTTCATTGTGGAAGGGACATGTGACCATGCCACTACACCACCCTGGATCTGCCCCTGTCACCACCTACCCCAAAGTACCATCTCCCAGGGTCAAGGAGTTATACATAAGAGATAGCTACTATCCAAGAGCTTTCTGGTTGCTTTGATACTGCCAGTAGCTTGCTGTTGTGAATGGGTCTGCTCCACTTCTGACAAGAGGTACTGTACTGGAGAGACAAGGACCCTTCCAGAGAGGGACAGGTGCTGGACTCCAGAGGAGAATGGAGTGGGGTAATCAAAGAGAACTGGGGCTTGAATTAACATCAGAATGACATTAACAAATCAGATTATTATTAAATCATTCTGTTAGCACTGCTAACAGAAATCACAAAAGTGGATTCAGTCAGGCAGAGAGGAGGAACGCTAGGCAAAGAGGATGGCCATCAGGGCAAATACTGGAGAAAGGCACCCCGTGCCACTGGGTTAGGGGAAATGCAGAGGTAACAGATGTGATTTAGAAGGAAGATAAAAGGGAGTGATGAAATTGAAAACTTGTTTGGCAACAAACCAAGGAACCAGAGGCTGGATCAGGTAGACAAGGCCATTTAGCAGATGGAAAGGTTATGCAACATCATAGGGCGCAAGCCACAAGACACCTGAAAGCATTGATAAATAGGAAAAACAAACGGCACAAAAATGAGGAAAAGATGTGTAGAGTAAATAAGAGGAGCGCAAAATCCTCCATGTGCATTGTTCATTTTTCTGTAAGAACCTTAACTTAGGTTTTTGCATAATTCGTTTTTCTGGCTTAGTATTCAATTATTGCTTTTGTATTTAACTCATGTATTTTTTTTAAAGAAAACAAGCAAAAGGTGAGAAAAAATAATAAAAATGGACAATAGACTAAAACTCTAAGCTCTGCTGTGCTCTATTGTAAGCCTGTAATGCAAGGTAATGTGTCAGTCTCACCATATGGGCCAGTAGTCTATCATAATTTTCAGATAATTTCTGGAGCTTCATTCCTTGTATTCAGTATCTGAGAGATCAGGCCAAATTCTTTATTCACTCATGCTGATGTAAAGTCAGCAAAGCTTGCTTTCTCTACTGGACATTTATAGATTTTTAATGGTATTTTCTGTTGACTATGTCTTGCAAAAAATTCCTTTAATGCTAACACTTTCCAGGTTTACTCTCAGTCCAACAATAACTTTCACAAGGAGAAATCAATGTAGTTACTTTTCAGTTAGGATAATTAAATAATAATTTCCCCACTTACTTTTTTAAAAATTTGGATAACTCAGAAATGGTTTTACTTTAAAGCTGAAACTTCCCACTGAACTAGATCTCTCTCTAGGATAGTCTCTGGACTCAATTTCATATGGGAAATAACTTTCTATACTAGCTAAAAATGCTATTTCCTATTCCTCATCTTGTAACCAGTGAAGGATGTGAATAACTACACATGTGAGTATCTCTGTTGAACTCAGTGGGACTTTGCATGCACCTAAAGCTATGTGCAAATGCAAACATTAGCAGTACTGAAGCTTACTATTTTTCTATGATGCGCCCTTGATCGTCTTTTGCAATTTTGATTATTCTTTACTGAGATATCTCTGTTTTTAGGTCAGTGTCACACTTTCATTTTCCTTTTCATTTGGTTTATTCCTTGATCCCATCACAGCAGAACTTTCCTCAAAGCTTCAGAAAAACCATTAGGATCAAAGGAATACAACCCCCCTCCCCCAGTACTTTCCAGACTAAAAGCAACCAGCCCTTTGGGAGGCAGTGTGCATCAGCTTTCCTTCTGACATTTTTGCCATCTTTTTCTTTTGGCACGTTGGCTAATCAGACTTTTGATGCAGATGCACTGTTTTCTACTCATATATAGTCCTGCAGCCCCCATATCTGTAGGTCTGTACATGTAAGTATTGCATATCCTCTTCCTACAAAGACTGGACTGTTTCCATGGTAAATGTAACATTTTTAGACAATAGCAAGAGTTAAACATGAGGTTTTTTTTCAGAAGAAGGTTAAGCACAAGGAATTTTTCTCAGCAGGTATATTTATCCTAAGTGGCTTTTGCTGGTTTACACATACCCCGCCCCGTCTATTGGTTTGGAAAGTTGTTACACTTGATTGCTCAGTTTACCTGTTTGAGTCAGTGGGGGCAGTGGAATTTTTAAGGACAATGAAACACAGTCAAGTACTAGCCAGCGTATGCCAGACTTCAGCTGGTTTGAAGGTGCAGAGACCATCTCTGAACGTCCCCCGACACATGCAAGAGTTACGCTGCAGAAGCTTCTCCTCAGCCACTCGCTTTGGTCGGCAGTGAACCTGATTTAAGGAACTCATTGCTGTGTGCTCATCTGAGAAGAAAATATGGTCAGTGGTGCACTGCAAATTGCTGGACTAGTTGTTGGAGGCATTGGCTTGGTGGGGACCTTCGCAATCACTGGTATGCCTCAGTGGAGAGTATCTGCCTTCATTGAAAACAACATTATAGTGTTTGAGACCATTTGGGAAGGGCTGTGGATGCAATGCATTCGGCAAGCTAATATCAGGATGCAGTGCAAAGTCTACGACTCTCTTCTGGCTCTTTCACCTGATCTACAAGCAGCTAGAGGACTGATGTGTTCTGCTTCTGCACTCTCATTTCTGGCTTTGATGATAGCCATTATTGGCATGAAGTGCATTACCTGCGCTGAGAACAATGTACGAGTCAAAGGTTATATTCTGCTGACTGCTGGAATCCTCCTCATCGTGTCCGGTATCATGGTGCTCATTCCCGTGTGTTGGGTTGCCAAGTCCATCATCAGAGACTTCTACAATCCAGCTGTCAACCTAGCACAGAAACGAGAGCTCGGAGAGGCCCTTTACATAGGTTGGGTATCTGCCTTCTGTCTCATCGCTGGGGGAGTTATATTCTGTTGCTTCTGCCCTTGCGATGAGAAAAACAGACGCTACAGGTACTCAGCGCCTTCCCAGCAGACACGCTACAAAACTTACACGGAAAGGAAAACAGAAAGTTCATACTCCAAAAGCCAGTATGTCTAACGGCTTCTTAGTTTATTAGGTCAGCAAGTCAAGCTATGTGAATGGACTTCAGGGTCTACACTGAACTGCAAGTAGACTAGGAAAACATTATTTGTATTCCATAGTATAACTACAAAAGGTACCACTGAATCCATGGAGTGTAGTTAAATTTGTGAATCCCACTGTAATTAATACTGCAACCTAACATAGTGTATTTATAAAGTTTTATCACAGGAAAAGAAATCATGCCCTTATCTTTATGATGGTTTAAAGGTTTAAAATTGTTTTAGAAATATTTGCATCCTTGCCAAGGTGAATGTTTAAGTGCTCTTTCATAGTTATTTTGAATATTTAGATTTAAATGGTTCTATTTCAGGATTGTATTTCATATTGCGCATGTTACAAATGGGCTTATGTGACTCCATTGTGATTAAAAAATCCTGATAATTTGCTATGAAGAAATGAAGCAAAGCAACTTTTTGTGGGGGAAGGAATGGATGATAAGACTTAGTAACAGCAATGTAATACACTGAATCCAAGATGAAGCTTCCCCCCAATGCTGATTGGGGAAAAGAATAAGTGCAGCTAAGGGATGCATGTACTGTCATTTTAAAGAAGGGTAAAGTGAAAGGTTTGTTCATCAGTGTTAAGAAGCCACAAAAAATTGAAAAATATCCTTTATTTCAAACAGTACATTTAAAAGATCACATGTTGTTTTGTATTTACCTGGAAACATAACAATCTACACCCCTGTAATCTTTTAATAATAAATTCATATTTGGTTTTGAAATATGTGAAGACCAGGGTGGTATACATTCTTGTCTTTCAAAAAAACAACAGGATTAAAAAAAACAACAAGGAGGGTCCTCAAGTGCTAGCGCTTACAGCATTCTTAGAACAATATTTTTTATTTCCACTGTAAAACACCAAAGCATTTTTTATAAGAATATTTAGTACTTTCTAAAGAGCTTGAACCAGCAACAACTCCTTTGGGGGCAGACTCTTGCACCTAAACTGAATTCCTCTCACCTCATTGTGGCACAAAGGTAAAAGAGGATTAAAAGAACAATATTTTAGTGTTTCACTCGCTGTTCATTTAAAAAATCAAAACAAGATTTTAATAATGTGACTGTCTGCCCCCTTAGGGAGAACAATGTAAAAGGAATGAAACCCACATAATCCTATGGAAGCCAACTGCAATTCCACATAAATGATTTCAAGAAATGACTAAAATTAAGAGAGAATGATAACCTTTCAATGGAATTTGGAAACCAATGAATAGGGTAAAATCCTGGTCTCACTGAAATAATGGGAGGCTAGCCACTGACTTAAGTGGGAACAAGATTTTACCTGTGGAGATTAATAATAAAGGATGAGAATCTCACTTTTTACAATTTGATTGACTGGTTTAAATATTTAAAGAAAGGTTCATGCAATCCTGTTTGTACTCTTACTCACAGCTAAATTCCTTAGGTTATTTCTACCTGAAAATCAGGTGCAGCTTCCAGTGAACCACAAGGAACAGAAATACTCAGACTGCTTTAGAGCTGTCTATTCACTGCTTCAGGGCATAACTCAATTTGTGTCTAGATACATATATTTTAGATACATATATTTTTATTGTGCCCTATGATTCTTTAAAAATAATTTCTGGAAATGTACATATTCATAGATTGTTAGGGGCTGGAAGGGACCTTGCAGATCATTGGGTCCAGCCCCCCCGCTCTAGGCAGGAAGACAACTGGGGTTAGGTGACCCCAACAAGGTGACTGTTCAATCTCCTCTTGAAAACCTCCAGGGTAGGTGAATGCACCACCTCTGGAGGGAGTTTATTCCATAGTCTGGACACCCTAGCTGTGAAGGAGTTTTTCCTGATATTAAGCCTGAAGCGGCCTTCCAGGAATTTATATCCATTAGTCCTGGTCTTCCCCAGGGGTGCCCTAGTGAAGATTTCACCAAACTCCTGATGCACTCCTCTGATATAGTGGTAAACTGTCATCAAGTCCCTTCTCAACCTTCTCTTCTTTATGCTAAAGAGGCCCAGGTCCCTCAGCCTTTCCTCGTATGGCTTGCCTTGCAAGTCCCTGATCATACGGGTGGCTTCTTTCTGGACCCTCTCAAGTTTTTCCACATCCTTATTGAAGTGCAGCGCCCAGAACTGGATGCAGTATTCCAGTCATGGTCTCACCAATGCTGAGTACAGCGGGAGTATCACTTCCTTAGTTTTACACGAGATGCATTGGTTGATGCATGCCAGCATGTTGTTTGCCCTGCTGATCACCGCCTCGCACTGACAGCTCATATTCATAGGATGGCCAATTGTTACCTCTAGGTTGCTTTTGGCCATGGTGCAAGTCAAGCTGTTGCCACCGAGCCTATACGTATGCTGAGGGTTGTTTGCCCCCAGATGGAGCACCTTACATTTGGAAGTGTTAAACTTCATCTGGTTCTGGTCTGCCCTACTCTCAAGCCTGTCCAGGTCCGCCTGTATCTGCCACCTATCTTCTGACGTGACCACGCTGCCCCACAACTTGGTATCGTCTGCAAACTTGGTCAGCAAGCTTTTCACTCCCCGTCCATATCGTTGATAAAGATGTTGAAAAGCATTGGTCCAAGCGCAGACCCCTGAGGGACACCACTGGCCACTTTGCACCAGGACAACACAGATCTGTTCATAGGAACTCTCTAGGTCCTACCCTGTAGCTAGTTTCCCACCCATATGTAATATGTATAGCACATGTAATAGGACAGAGGCTAGTAATATTTCTACTGCAATAGATATATATATTTGTAGACCATTGTGGATTTTCTCCATAGAACACATAGCTATAAACACTGTGAGAGGTTTTTGCATGTCTTTCTGCATCAGAACTTGGTCCTTTCCACATATTCACCATTCTGTGTTATCCCACAAAACACATAATATCTGTTCAGTTCCCCTTTGTAATTTGAACACAAGGTCTTACTCAAGGAAATGTACCTTTGATGTGTTTTAGTTCAAAAGTGGACTGCTGTCATTTTCTGTGTGCTGACGTGCGTTTTGCCACTTACACAACTGCATGCATTGCAGTGTGTTGTGCTTTGCAAAATACCCAGTGCTGCAGCACATACGTGTGTAAAAATGTCCTATGCTCTTTAGCTAATGTGCATTAAAATAGGCTAATGCACCTTTTTCTAGTACCTCACAGTGGAGGGCGCCTATAAATGAGTGGCGAGGCTTCTCCGACACTGTAATTATAGCTTGTTTAAGCAGATTCGATTAATCTGTTGGAACCTGCTGGAGATCAATTGAGTCTGCTGGAGTGTAGTAATTACCACGCTCCAGCAGACTCCAGCATCGTGTGTATCAGTGTCTCCGTGCTGAAAAATGGCAGTGGGGGTGCTTTAACTAAAGCTCATTCAATAAGCTTTAGTTAAAGCATCCTGCTGCCATTTTTCAGTGTAGAGACGCTGATACACAAGATGTTCCAGATGCTTTAGTTGGAGTGGCTCTTGGAGTCACTCTAATTAAAGCCCCCTCCCCCCTCCTCCTGGAGTATATGTATAAATGCCCAGAGGTACTAGATTTAATGCACATTACCAAAAGTGCATTAATGAATGTTTAGATGTGCCCAAAGAAATTTTTGAAAGCACCTGCAATATTTAGGGAACAAGGCCAATTGACCTTTAATAGGGCCTTGAGGCTTTTGAAATTTTGCCCCAGAATCTCTATGCAAAAGCAGCTTACACTATACTGCATACACATTGTATTAGGAAATACTTTATGTCATGACCAACAATAATTCAGAAGAAAATGTTAGTTCCAGAATAGAAAAAAAACACAAATTCACTGCTTATTTACAGCAAATCTTTAGTAATACAGGCCGAGGGCCCAAAAGAATAGAAGCTGATACATTGCTAAGTCGGTAGCATGAGAAATGCCTGTCCTGTGCCAGTACTTGAATCCAAGATGAAGCTTTTTTCCCCTAAGCTAGCTGGGGGAAGAAAAGCTTGTTTTGGATTCAAGTAAATATGGTAAATGTATACTTCAAGTACCTATATTCTAAAAACTTGATCTAAATAAATGTCTTAAAACTATGCCTAACTGAAGATTTTCCATCAAAACTCCCCCCCCACACCTCAACTTTAGCCATTAATCAATTCAATTTATCAAATAACAGATTTAATATTTAAAGATATAGCCAATTTCTTAAAATATAAAGACAAATATTTATCTTCTATCAACAGAGCTACCATAACTCAAATCAATGGCCACAGAAGTCTTACATTCTTCTCTACTTCTATGTTGTGAGAGGGTCAGTGAAAGCCCCTCTAAGGAGTCCCGGTCCCCCACCCCATGCACCCTGGTGCCCCCCCTAGGGATCCCGGAAAACTGCAGCTGGGAGGAAGCGCGGGTGGCAGCCCCACAATTCTGGAGCTGCCTGCAGCTGCAGATCAGTGAGGGATGTGGGCGGAGCCTCCGGAAACTGCGGGCTGCTCAAATAGCAGCCAGGAAAACAGCTGAGGGGTGGCGAATGGCGGGAGAAGAGGATGCTGACCCAGAGACGCTGGGGAAGGAGAAGGAGGATGCCAACCTGGAGATGCTGGTGGGGAAGGAAGAGGACACTGACCTAGAGATGCTGCTAGAGGAAGAAGAGAGCACTGATCCAGGGATGCTGGCGGAGGGAAGAACGGACGGCGACCCAGAGACGCAGGCAATAAGGAGGAAGATTACCCAGCTGCGGGCAAGAGAGGGGGGGCCGAGGGCCCTGGCACAGGAGGCGGGAGGCACTGGCAGGAGCAGTTACCCCACACGGGGGGGCACGGTGGGGGGAGGGGCACAAGTAACCCAGTGTGGGAACCACGCACTCTTCCAAGCCAGGGAAGACTGGGAGCGACTCCGGGTTAGCTGGGGGCCAGTGCCGACCAAACTGAGGGGCTGGACCAGGGTGGGGCATGGAACGGCAGCCCACCCCCATAGTCACCCAGGGTGCAGGGACAAGTGGGTCCCTCATACGTTCCTTTAAGTTTCTTCTTTACTTTGGACTATAAAAGGGGCACTGGGAGGCAAGATCCCGGGGGAACCCTCTGGTGGAAATCCGGGTGTTGATTTTTGTTGGAAGCCCTAGCTAGCCCGAGACAGGGCTGGCTTATATGCACTAATTGGCCTGAAGCCAAGAAACCGGCTACAGTGAAGGGGAAAATGACCCGGAAGGCCCGACCCACTTGGAGGTGGGCAAGCCAGGCGAAGAGGAAAAGCTGTCCAAGGGGACGCCTGCAGAGGATAATATCCATCCTGGCTGTAAATGTGGTAAGGGTGGGGTAAAGGGAAGGTTTCGAGCCCCACGAAGCAAGAACAGGGATTGAGGTGTCTGCATCCTCGGGGGCCACCTGAAGGGAACTACCTCCCCAACTACAACATCTAAGTCGTGGCAGACGAGTAAGGGCAGCACCCATACCACCCAGGTGGCATCCAAGCTTGAACCTCACCCTGATGTCGCTCAGGGGCAAGGCGCCCAGTAAGAGAAGGCTGAAGCCTTACAACACCTTCCAGCGACATATGTATTATTTGGTTTCCTGGCCTTTGCAGTTGTAATTCTTACAGCTATGAGAAGATGAGTGATCAATTTCCTATGACACTTATATGTTGCAAAATTCTCAGGAAAGTTCAATAGGAATACTAAGGGGTTATTGGATAATTGGCATCCTGTTATTTCTCTCACCATGTCTCCATCCTTCTTCCAAAACAGTTTAATTCTGGGACACATCTTCCTCGTGGTAAAATTCTCCCAAATGACCACACTTCCTCTA